TTATAAGTAATGATATTTAATTAATTACATAATAAATACAATTAAGAATATAATAGATTAAAGGTAAAATATTACCAAAATGTTAAATTAAATAATAATTTAATTTAAATAAATTAATAAGAATACTTTAAACATATGATTATGGGTATTCTATTGAAAATGCGTGATATAATATAAAAGCAAAGAAGTCATCTAAGATTTAGGTGAGTACTCATACTTCTGAATTATGATAATAATATTAAATATTGTTTAAACTAAATACATTTGATGTTTGTTAGATGAATTGATATTGCATATTTAATTATTATCTAATTGAGTATAAGATAAACTAAATACATTTGATGATTATTTAACTTTAATTACCATTTGAGGTATTAAGATATGAGATAGAAAATGAGTAGTTGAAAAGATAATGCTTCTAGAAGACTAAATTAAGCTAGCAAAATATAGTTTTATTCATAATTGCTTACTTTTAAGTAGATTTAAATTTTACTTTGTTCGAAACTATTCAATTATTTGGATGATTACTTATATTAGTTAGAGATAGAAATTTGATTTTTATCGTCTTATTGTTCATTTCCAGCTTGATAATTCCTAGTCTCGGGGCCGAGTTGTAATAGCCTAAGTACTAAACTAAACCTAACTACTCTAATTTGTTTCTAAATCACGAGACTTTGATACAATTCTAAAAACTAACATACACATGATATGCATCGATAGGCTAATAACTTCTAATGAAACGTGATTAGTGTTAAAAATAAGAGAAGGACAAGTAAAGATACACCCAAACTAATGTAGACACCAAAAAGAATGTTATGCATGACCAAGTAAAGTGGGTTGCCTTATTATAGAAGGAAAAGAACACCCCAAAAATACAAAGTCAACAAACGGTTATATGTTACGTCTCAAGCCTAGTCTAAGGGCAAGTTTGTCCTTTATATGCCTAAGGGAAATTTAGTCCTTTATTTTTATTATTGTTGGATATAAGTAGCTTTGTAATGTCTAGGGTTAGGTTTTATGCATAAGATTGAGTTGTGAGTTTTAGGGTTAGGTTTGAGAGAGATTTCCCACGTATCTGAATTCTAGCAATTAATAAAGATCACCCACCTCTCAAATTATAGGTGTTTATCTTTTGTAACTGTGTGAGAAGTTGTAATTATTGAAATAAAATTTGTGTTTGCACTAATTTTTCTGAAAAAGTGCATCAGTACAATCAGTACAGTCGTCATCAGAGCTAACTTGGGAAGGCAGCGCGGCCATCAGAGACATGAAACTCCCATTTTTTCTCTGTTTCCTGTTTCGCTTCCTCTCGAGTCGTCTACCCGATACAGGCGCGATCAGAGTTACTTGGGAAGGCAACGACCGAGAAGCGACCTACAAAGACGCGAAACTCCCGCTTCATCCCATAATAGGTCGTGATTTCAGCGCAAGGCGACGACAAGATTGCATTTTCCAAAACTCGTGTCTTTCTCCTCCTGCTCTGTTCTCGAGATATAACTACAAGTGTCACTCCGTCTTTGCAACACAATCGCGATCATTGCATGCTGGGAAGGCAACGATGGACTCGCGGCTAGGCAATGGCGTGCTCGTGTACAAAAGAAGGCAACTACAGGTTGGGAGCCTTTCGTCGACCCGCACTGTCATGAACGAACCCTGCGATACAGTAGCCATCAAAACTTACAGGGAAGGTCACAACGAGATCTTATCGGGGCGGGACAAAAGGTTTGTGGATTTCGGCTTACTTTCATCTTTGTCTCACTGAAATGTGTGAAATAGACTCAATTAGATCATAATTAGCGGGGCAGGCTGCAACAAAATCAGTCATGCCCTAATAATGACACTAGAAGTCAGCGATCAAACTCGAAACCAAGTGGACACTAGTGAAAGGAGATAATGACAGTCAAGAAAATAGATGATGTGGAGAAGAAATTGGAGGAAGAGGTGGGGAAACTCAAATCTGAGATAGAAGAAAGGTTCGTCAGCATAGAAAATAAATTTTTTAATAGAAAGTCGAATGGAGGATAGATTTGAGAGCATAAGGGAAATGCAATAAATAATGAAGAAGATAATGGAGTTTCACACAAAATCGGCTTCGTCTGTCATGGGGTTGAGAGAAGATGTCGGGAACGGACTCCAGCAACAATAATCAAAAGAATTCGCACGACATGAGGGTTGTGTCACAACTTTAGGCAGAACAGGAGTTGTGTTATCGAGCAAGGAAACCCGGAGTGAACTCGAGCTACATCACTTTGAAGAAATAAAACGACATTTGGATGGCTAGGATAAACAAAAACAAGCAGGATTGAAGTTGACAGAGATGAAAGAGAACGAAATAAAGTTGGATTATGGTGATCGGTAAGCCACGGGATGAGCTATTTGAGGCTGCGATATTCTCTAAGATTGATTGGAAATTAGGCCACCAATAGATTAAAATGCGGTAAATGGACGTGCACAAAACTACATTTCGAACTCTTGTGGGTCAGTATGAATTCTTGATTTAATGAGATCATATAATGATGCCAAGTGGAAGCCGCTTCTAATTTTTTCCACCTTGAGGCCAAGGTGTCTTCCTAAGGAGGGGGGAGGGGGGGAGTAATGTTACGTCTTAGCCTAATCTAAAGGCAAGTTTGTTTTATGTATGCCTAAGGGCATTTAGTCTTTTATTGTTATTATTATTGATTATAAATATGCTTGCTATTTATAGTGTTAGATTTTATGCATGAGATTGAATTGTGAGTTAAGGTTTTGGGATAGTTTCCTACCTATCAAATTAAAGAAATTGGGGGAGATTGTCTACCTCTCGAATTGTACGTGGTTATCTTTTGTATTTGTGTGAGCTGTTTGGGTTATTGAAATTAAAATTTTATTCGACCTAATTTTTTTTGGAAAAGCGGGTTGTTTTTGAGGTCAGATCGTATCATTATACCAATAAGGTAAGCCATTATGGCATGGTTCAACCAAGCATTTCAATCTAATTAAGAAAAAAAGACTTGTCCAAATTGCAAGAGCTTGAAACTATGATTTGCAAAAATTTACTAGCACCTCTCTATAAACCTCTAAACTAAAGTGTAAAAATCCTCACTCCATTGTTTTTGTTCACTTTACCAACAGATATGATTTGTTAAAGTATACCCTTTTGTACTATGAAAGATTGGGTTAAAGGACACAAAGAAAAACCATAAAAATTTCATTGTAACAAAATGAGGCCTTTAAAGCCTTGAACTATTAATCGAAGGAATAAAATCTTCAACTATCTTAGACAAAAGTAGATAAATGTGCTTGAAAAGATAAATGTAACATTCATTAGTAATCTAAATAAAGAACATGTACACAAGAAAACTAAGAATGGTGCAGGTTGGTTGAGCACATATATAAACAACAATAGGGCAAGAGAAAGAATCCATATCAATTTAATAACAAATTTTTTTAGGATCCTCTCCTTCAAGCAAACTATCCATAAAGTTTAGTCTTTCCTCTACCATTTGTAATCCAAGGAGATATCCTCCTCAACTCTCCTAAATGCCCTAATCTTTTCTCACTTCTTCATCCTCCTTGCATAATAACTTATTCTTAAAATATCATTAATTAACGCTATAGGGAAGGGTATCTCCATTTCCATTTTAGTTGTATTCAACATTTTAAAAAAAAAATCAAGAAAATAATCTTGCATTCTGTTGGTTGTCCAAAAAATTAGTTCCTTAAGAGTTGAAAAACACAAATTCTCAATCTAATGGTAATGAACAAAGGAGAATGAAAGCTTGATGCAAACCCAGTCAATAAATGTGGTGGAAAAGAGGTTAACGTTTTGCAAGGATGGAGTCACAAAATAGAAACCTAGGAGATGAAGGTGCCACTTGTGAGAGGCTTATCTACGAAGGGGAAAGAAGTCTGCACTTGCAATGGGCAAATGAGGGATTCAGTCGTAAGAAACTATATTTTGATAGGGATTTGTTGTGACTGCTGGTGGTGGCCTTTAATGGGTTGTTAGTTGTTCCATATTAAAACCAAAAAGATAACTGGTTCAGTAAGAGGGAAGTCCAACCCAGCCCAAACTGGTTTCAGTTTTCAATTGACAATGGGCCTAGGATTTCAATAATATGTCCACAATATTGAGTCAAGCATAGCAGAATTAAGCAAGTATGGTACAAATGGTCATCCCTAATAACATGCAATTATGAAGGATCCCTGCTTTCGTTCTCTCCTTCCAAGGCATTGTTCTATCCAAGAAAGCACTGCCCTAAAATTCCAGAGAACTCCATTCATGAGTAATTGCCCACAACAATTTGACATGAATAGTTAAAAAAATTTTGAGAAGTGTCAAAATAGTTCCCTGACTATTTACATTGGGCAATTGTAATCCCATAGTACATAAAATTATCAAATCAGTTTCCATATTATTTTAAAATGACCTGATATAGTCCCCAAAAAAAAACATTTTAGCCCCCATTTATAGAGTTTGGGCATTAAATTGGCAGTTTTATAGACTCTGGGTCTAAAACGACCCCATGCAAAGAGTCGGGAACCATATTAATACTTTTCTCTTTTGAAAAATGTTCCAAAAAGGCTATCAACATTAATATAAAAACCCGGGGTACAAAGAGTTACATAACATTTAAAATATTTATGTGTCCATTTATATTATTAAAGAAAGCGAATCACTGCTTGACAATTATATTGAACTTCCTAAATCAAACATGAAAAATAACAGACATAAAATTATAATTCTCATCTTATATGGTTTCTAAATCAAATAAAAAAAATCATAATCCTCATAATTAGAATGGCATGTATTTTTTTTTATAGGACCCCATAGTTTTCTCTTTTGAAAAATGTTCCAAAAAGGCTATCATCATTAATATAAAAACCCAGGGTACAAAGAGTTACATGACATTTTAATCATTTATGTGTCTATTTATATTATTAAAGAAAGCAACTGAAAGACTTAATGATTGAGAGTTATTTATGCTGCAACACTTAAATATTGGAAAAAAACATGTTACCTGAGGACTGCTTGTGTTGTTAGCTCGAACGCCTACAAAATAATACCAGACCAAAACCATTAATTGTTGAACATGAAGATAATTAAGATTAGAAAGAAAGCTTCCTTCACTGACAATAAGACATAAATTTCTGATTGAAAATGCAGCTAACATTATTCTGTGATCTGACGTAATGACTGAGAATTTTCAGGTGGAAACGGATAAAAGATTAATAAACCCTGACTACAGATAAAGCAGGGCTATGAAGAAAAAAAATGAAAACTTCTCCATAGCCATTCTTCACTGGAAAGTTTTTTCGCAAAATCAGCCGGCCTGTAACTGAAGATACTTTCAGTGATAAACAGAAGCGATATATGACCACATGGAACCACCAAGTACTCCAAAAGCTCGAACAAAAAGAGATGCAGCAACCAAGGAGACAAATTCACTCTGCCCGTGATTCAAATTATCAAATATAGATGATTGCAAATGCATGAATTTTGCCTACTACGGATTGAAAGAGACATGGCAATAATTTTTGCACAATCCTCTAGACAAAATATTAACATTCTCTTACTGATGAGTTCCACCATTTTCACGGCTAGTGAATTGAACCCTTGAACTACATTGATGGAGAAGATGTAACTAAAGCTTTATGGTCAAAAGATGCAATTGCTCAAAAGCTCACAGATTTGGTGAATCCACATTTTCTATGATACAAACAGCAATCATGGTCAAATTTAACACAACTCGTCATCCACTAAAGATAATAAGGTATAGGACCAATTCTGCAAGTCTTCTTGACAATATTGTCAGTCTCTTCCCACTGAATGCCGAACTGTACCACCAAGGTTTAAATTCACAACTTGATGTGATACATTTGACATAAATCACTTGGATATACTAACCACTCCAAAAGTCCAATATGATAGAAGGAACGAATAATATTTTATAGCCAAAGTCTAACCGCCCACAAATCCACAGGTGTGATATATCCATACTGTCCATGATTCAATCATCAATTATGGTTCAAAGTAAGCCCACAACTCAATCATCCGCTAAGAGCACCAAATATCAATTAAGAATCACATAAATCAGACAGTTAAATTAGGAGTTTCCTATGATTAGAAGCTTCCTTATTTACCTTTACTTTAATTATTTCCAAATTTCTCTCTTCTGATTTATTTCTTTTAATTGTACATATTCTCTGTTTATTTAGATTAGGAATATTTATTAGGTTACTTAAAAGAAATTGTACAGACTATTATTTATCGGAATGAAAGTAGAAGAAAAAAGGAATTAAACCTATTTTCTCAAAACTTGATATGGTATCGGAGCCACTTTGCTTCGTTCCAGTCTGCTTCGTCCGCCTTCAATCAATCTTCGACTACATCATCTCCCTAATTCTGTCTCCATGTAGCAAGTCTTCCGTCAACTTCTGCTGGTTCTCGCTTCTGCCTGGTCCCGTCTCTCGCGTTTGGTTCCAGCTCTAATCTACAATCCTATCCATCTCACTCGATGATGTAATCGAGATTGAGAGAATAATGAAATCTAGGTCCATGGCTAAGGATCTTTTTGGTACCGTCAAGGAGATCCTGGGCACCTGCGTCTCTGTTGGTTGCAACGTTGATTTTAATTGTACATATTCTCTCTTTATTTAGATTAGGAATATTTATTAGGTTACTTAAAAGAGATTGTACAAACTATTATTTATCGGAATGAAAGCAAAAGAAAAAAGGAATTAAACCTATTTGCTCAAAACTTGATGTGGTATCGGAGCCACATTGCTTCGTTCCGGTCTACTTCGTCCGCCTTCGATCTTCGACTACATCAACTCCCTAATCTTGTCTCCATGTAGCAAGTCTTCCGTCAACTTCTGTTGGTTCTCGCTTCTGCCTGGTCTCGTCTCCCATGTTTGCTTCCAGCTCTAATCTACAATCCTATCCATCTCGCTTGATAATGTATTCGAGATTGAGAGAATAATGAAATCTAGGTCCATGCTAAAGATCTTTCTGGTACCGTCAAGGAGATCCTGGGCACCCGAGTCTCTGTTGGTTGCACCGTTGATGGTAAGGATCCAACGGATTTGCAGACTGAGGTCTCAGAAGGTGATTATGAGGTTTCCCACAAACTTTGGGAATCGTTCGTCTTCATCTTCGAGCTCATTCCATCTTCTCCAGCTGCTTCCTACGTCTTCGACATCTTCGACTGCAAATCGTCAAGAGTTTTGTTCGCTCCGACTTCGTTTTGCTTAGTCTGCTTCGTTTGCTTCGGCTTTATCCGAACGCCATCAACTTCTTCGCTAGCCTTCGCTGCTTCTGCAGCAACTTCGACTGCTTTTTCTACTTCGGGCTTCTTTCGCTTTGGCTTTGTCGGCTTAGTCAGCTTCGGCCACTTCGGTTTCATCCAACCACACCATCGTCGTCTCGCTAGCCTTCGTTACTTCTGTGGCATCTTCGACTGCTTCTTTGCCCGCTTCGTCGACAGTGTTTTGCAGCATCTTAAACAGCTTCTTCCGCCTTCGACTGCTTCCAGCAAGTCTTCCTCGACTACTTGCAAGTCTTCAACTGGTTCCACTCAAAGAAAATCGACTTCAGTTTCGACTTCGGCTTCTTTGTCGCACTCAAGTATCATAGGCTTCGGCTTCGGATTCCTCTCCTTCGGCCTTGGATAAAATTCAAGGCATTGCACTATTTTTTGGCTCTCTTTGGTTTTCTTTGAGTTTCTTTGGATTTTTTTGGATCTCTTAGCTGACTTTGGTTTTATGTTGATTTCAATCAACGACTTTCTTGGTAATAAACTTGTGAGTGACAATTTTGTTTAGAATGTCTTCTGAAATCTTAGCTATCAGATTTATAAGAAAGAATTATGTAAGCATGAGAATTTCAGTTCAATATGTTCATGAAAGGGAAATGATCAAGTGTGGAAGCAAGTGATAGCGAAAGGGCCTAAAGTGAGCAGATCTTCAAACAACTGATATATTTACAAAGGCTTTTTCTCGACAGGATCATCAATTTATTGTTGGCAAATTGATGTTTATTGATCAATCAACATCAATTTGAGAGGAGATATCAATCAAGAATAACAGAAACGAGGCAATTGAATTAGGAGCTTCCTTATCTATCCTTATTTAAATTATTTTCAAATTTCTCTCCTCTGATTTATTTCTTTTAATTGTACATATTCACTCCTTATTTAGATTATGAATATTTATTAGGTTACCTAAAAGTGTAAAGACTATTATTTATTGGAATGAAAGCAAATGAAAAAAGCATTCAGCCTATTTGCTCAAAACTTGACACGAGACGGCTATTTTTCTATTCTAATAACAATCCTCGGTCAACTAGCTCAATTACAATATCTAAAATTTATAAAATAGGTAAATAATCGTTAGCCGAGTAACAATTCTATTGAATGTAGCATATCAAGCTTTTGACTAAAATTTCACATCAGCCACCACTAGGAGGGGACTGCTCATACTTATATACCAACAATAACTATTCAACAGCTCAAATGTTAGAAAAAGGCATCCTACCAACAAGCTTTATCTTCAAATTGAGCCTTGGTTCCAAGAGTAAAGGCCAAGGGACGTTCAAGCTCTATCTCTGGCAATATGCTCCATGAAATTCCATATCTGGCAGTTAGTATGTTTTATGAGTCACTATGCGGAGCTCGTGGGTCTATAACAGTCCTTGTCCTCAATTTATCATTAATAATTTATATGAGATAGCATTCTATCCTTCAAAAAAGGGAAACAACCTTTCTTTCCCAAAAATCTTTTCAGCTAATTTATTTCTTTTTTGTGTTGAGGCCCATGTGAGAAAAGAGCTGTCCTTATTAAAGAATTAAAGAAAAAAAATTATTGAAATATTGTAGAGAGGGAGAAACATATAAAGAAAAGAACATAGAGATGGCATGAACCAGAAGACTAACTGAGTACTAAAAAAGCACCAGCATGCATATTCAACACGAGCAAAAAAATTTTGAAATAATAGGAAAAGAATTTAAAAAAAATAAGGCAGTAATCATAAAGTTGAGAAGAGTGATGTTAAGAATTTTTAATATTCAAAAGCAATCAGACAAGGCATTGAAGAAATAATGACCAAGTTTATTAAGTACTGCAAAAAAGCTGAAAATTAGGGATTGGATATTAGAAGTATTTTTAAATTGTGCTGAAAATGTTAGCATCACCAGATAAGCAATATGAAGTTTGTTTTGATTTGCTCGAGGTGGTCAACAGAGGTCAACAAAAAAAAAAGATCCCAGATGATTCAATTATTCAACTCTACATCCTTCGTACAAAATGATAAGAGAAATATTTTTAATTATGAATGACTATAGAATAACCTTTAACAATAAGAACTTTGTCAAAGCATCTCCTGCCCTAGGAAAATTTGATCAAACTTTATTTGAAAATCACAATTCGCCAATTAGGATTTGAAAAAGATTTTGAAAACAGAAAGTGATATGAAAATTTATCTCAAAGCAATCCAACACATTATGGGTTTTATTATCCATAATTAGCATTTGAAACATAAAATCGATTATTTATATATTTTTTTTTCTATTCATACTAATTAGGAGGTATCCTTTAGGCAAATACCTAAAGGTAAAACTAGAGAAACAATTTACCAGTTACCATCCAAGATTAGAAAAGCTTTATTGTTAATTCATCACTTTAGTAATGAGTTCATCACATGATTTAAATATTCACAATATGAGACGTGCCTCAATGCCTTTCAAGAATTTATGTCATAAGGCTTGCACCTTATGGTCTCTCGTGTGAGGCGCTCCTTGCCTCAAAATTTAATAAGCATCCACTTCTTATGTAGCAAAACCACTCAAATAAGTTAAATCCAAAAAAGGCAGAGGGAACAAAAGAATAAATTCAAACCATGTTTGCATTATGTTCGAACAATGTTCAAACTTCACTTGGAACTTGATCAAATTAATCAACCTCATTAGAACATATTTAAACAGGATTTCACCCAATGTTTTTAAAATGCAATTCACGAGTAAAGCAAAGCGAAGCGCATGATCCAAAGCACTGAAGTTAATTTGTAAGTTCTAAGTTTTTAATTATTGCAGCAAACTACTAAAAATTATTAAAATTTTCAATTTGTATGTTTACCCTCAATATTTCCTTTCAAGTTCCGTATTATACCACATTTTTTTCTATTTTATATAAAATTTTAAATCATACTTTATTTTATAATTGTTAATGAATGTATTTATACATAAATAGCTTTGTATTAGGATTTTGGTCAATGAAAGAGCCGTTTCTCTCTGCACTCTGTGCTTTGAAGCAAAAATAAAGCCTTTTGTATCGCATTGCGCTTTGCACTTTGATAAAACTAATTCCAACATTGATCAAATATTCCTTGATCATTGTTTGAAATTGTGAACAGGATTCAAATGATATTAAATCATGACTCGAATGTTACATGTTGACCTTATCTGGATTTGTTTAGTCCTTACTTCGATATCTTATTATACTTTGATTTTGTATAACGATTCTTATTTCATTATTTTGATGTTCAAGATGTTCATATAACACTTTTTACGTCAAAACTTGATGTTAGTATAATAATTCTTAAGTTACACTATCGTTGATTTTTAAGACATTCACCTCATTTCATGGAAATCAAATGCCTATACCAAATTGCATAATTTTAAAATATGGTTTATAAGGTCATGAGAAAACCAAAAGAAGTGACTGGTAGTGCTCTCAATCCTCATCAGCACAATTAGCATGTGCCCACATTTTTGCCCAGGGTGGAAATAAAACACGTTTTTTCTCTCTTTCAAATGAGAGAACATTTTCCATACATTGCATTACATGAAATAGGTGATCGATTTGCCCCAACAAAAATCTAACTTAACCAAAGATTAAAACTTGAATCAACTAAATAAAAATAAAAAAACTAGATAGTTAGGTTCTCACAATAAATGCAAAGAAATCTAACAAAAAAAAAGCAGACACATGGCTGACATACATAAGCGAGTAATGCTCTTCATATAGAAGCTAGAAATACAAGGCAAACTGAAGAATGGAATAGACTTTATCAGAAATAAAATCTAGCAGGTAGAAATACAATAGAGAGAGGAGAGGCCATGAATGATGATCACTTTGTGGTAAATTGTTAATTTCTGAGCTAAGAAAATAGCAGAATTTTTTTTTTAATACTACTTAAAGTTTCAGCAAATCTAGCAGGTAGAAATTAAAATGGTCGACAAGGTAAAGCAAGAATTTGCATATATTTAAATAAAGATAGAAAAAAAAGAAGTCTATAAATAGCATTAACATAATCACTACATTACTTAAAAAGAAAAACTCTCTCGCACTTGAGAATAGTGAAGGCCTTCACAAGAAAAGATGAAGCAAAACCAGAAACACCACATGGTATGAGCTGGCTATTAGAAATAAAGCCAATTATCAAAATAATAATAATAATAATAATGATAATAATAAAACTCTAATTAGGAGACTATAATTAGAACTGGAGAACAATATTAAGATACCTCACGGCGAAGACTTAAAAATACTGGATGTTAAAGCATAGCTGACAATGTTTGGAAAATGTTACATATATCACGCATACCGTAAGCCTATTCCAATGAATACTATTAAGATAAATCAACTTACGTTCTTCAGTGTTTGTATTAGCAGTAGGCTCGGCCCCACCAGATCCATAAGGCCCTACCTGCGGCACCTCTACATTACCTGAAGGTAAAGGATTTTCCCACTGTCTCCTACGTCCATCTAATCTTGGTGCATAATCATTTAACTCATATAACTGACTAAAGTTATAGTAAGAGCTTCCAATTGAGCCAGAAAAACCATATTTATATGAATTTGCATGCATCATGGACCAATATGGGTTTCCCTGCCAACAACAGTAAAAAAGGTTATCAACTGTATGTCATACCAATAGTCTCTATTTCACATTTATACAAATATCAATCGCATGTTATCGAATGATTGCATCGCTCATTACTACAAAGTACAGCATTTGAACAGGAAAAAGGACCCCAATGCATTTCAATACCTATTGTCTACATAAAGAAAATAACATAAGAACATTAAAATTTCACAAGATACCTGGTCCTGCAAAGCTTCTGCAAGAAACATATCTCCCTGAGTATATGAAAGGCCTTCAAACAAATCCATGAAACTTTCCGTGATTGTATAAGGAAACCCTGTATTAATATAATGAACTTCAATTTGTCTGTTACCATTCATTTTGGAATATTCTTTCTGAAAACCTGGCATCCAAAACCCAAAAGCAAAAGCTTCAGCATTGACTGGCCAAGAAAAATATTAGCATTTGCAGCAAAAAATTCAGCACAACTTAACCATCAAAAACTAATAAGTTGATCAACGCAACTGAAATTACAGTGGGATGGAGGTCAGTGTAAGGTTATGTAGTTCAACTGCACTGAATAACCACAGGGCAATTTTTAAGATCACTATAAAAACAATGAAAAAGGAAAATCACGTCACTAAAAAAGCAGACTATTGCTACACACGGTTCGATCAAACTCTTAACGAAATGTATATAAACAAAGATCTAGAGAGAAGTGCGGTTCCTTTCCAACATTCTTCAACAAGAACTGTTCCCAGAATACCATTCATTGCTAATGCACAAAGATTCCAGCCCAATTTCCAGAAATTTCCACTAACTAATAAGCAGACTCATAAGAAAAAGCTTAAACAAAAAAGTGTAATCACGACATCTTGCTCGTGACAGCAAATTAATCTACCTTCAATAAATCCACAAGAAAAAATACTCATAGATCTAAACTCTCCCCAAACCAACTCGCCACCGTCAATGATCATTTATCCACCATTCTGACCGCAGAAAAACACCATGACAACCAAATTCCCCACAAAAAGCAACAAACCATCCGATCTCCCAAAACAAGAAGAAAAATTACAAGGAAACAGCAAGACAACACAGCCACAAAGCATTTGCACCTCATTTTAGCACGATCGCCGTAAACACCAAGCCATCCCTCGTTCCTCCCTCTTCTCCTCAACCTTCAGCTATCTCGTCACGGATCCAGCCAATGCCGGCGGGGGGGGGGG